TGGATTTTCAAGTAACAGGTTTTCTTCTTCCTTATCTTGGCTGAAATACCATAAACAGTGAGCTTTTGTCTCAAGACTTGTAGAAAAGTCAGCAAGTTAAACAGTGTTTTTTCTGTAACCTGGAACTAGTTCATCCCTTTTTTCTGCCAAGCAACTTTCTGTAGAAAAGGCTTTTAGCATTTTTTCCCCTTATGTGAGGGACTTTTAAGCTTTGAGACAATTTCAGGTTTGCTAAACTGTGCGAACAGATAGACAAATTTTGTGCTGAGATTTAGCCATTTATAATCCTCCCGATTATAATTTCTATTTCTCAAGCTTGCCATGAGAAATTCAGACCAATTCCGTAGGATGCATCCCAGAAGGTCATGGAGCTCTATAACCCATTTCGATAAACACAAAACTTCAGAATCTAATACATACATGGTCCAAGCCATATTCCAATATAAATACCTTGTTCTAACAGATTTCCATCATAGCACCGACAGCCCGATTTCAGGATTTTTCATCGCAAAACCATTAAGACAACAAAATCTTCCTAAGGAATGCAACACAATTCCCAAAGACAGTAACTCACCCAAACACAAACTCATAATGGATTTGGAGAGTTTTAAAGGGGATCAAAGGCCATCCAACAGTTCTCAGAGTTAACACACACATGGGAGGGGTCTAAACTCTTTCCAAGTAATAGCATAAACATCAGGCCAAGTGGGTAACATAGGACAGACAATAGACACACCGACTGCCTGTTCATACACACTGATTGATGCACCTCACCAAACAAAAGCTTGCTTACAGGTTCAACAAAGTCTTGTCCTGCACCAGTGGTACCTTTTTCTAACAGACAACACAGAGGACTTCTGGCAGAGAATTCAGATGGAATGTTCTCAGGTGGACAGACAGACTGGTCAGTAGAGGTCCCTTGAAGTCTTATCTCATGCCTACAGCCAAAAATCTATAGATGGCGTAGACAGAGGACCTTCAGTTCAGCATACCGGTTACGGATTTACAAACCTTGGGATTTGTCAGTCCCTCCCTAAAGCTTTTTCCTTCACCAGTGAAGCAAAACCAGCAGCTGAGAGGCAGGGAGAATCTCAAGATCAAAAAGTGCTGGAGGCCACTTTGGGCAAATACCTGAATCTTTGCCATAGGGCTTGCTTGCAAGAGCAGCAGACTCCCCAGTCAGCCCAAGGCAGCCCCCAGAAGCGTGACTAGATAGGCCCAACAGAGCTTTCACTGTTTATTGTCCTAGCTGTTGGAATCTGGAGAATCCCAGGCCACCTGGGGGCCACGATCTTCTTGCTGGCTTGTCAAGCTGTAACTGGCACCCAGGTATGGTCACTCCTTTGCTAGAAAAAAAGGACTCAAGAATCCAAGGTTGATGCAAGGTAGGAAAGCTTTATTATCAGGAAGTGCAACTTGGGAGATAGTTTTGGCTGCAAATTGTCTCAGAGGCTCGAGAGCCTCAGCAAGCATTTTTTTAAGGGAAGAATGTGGGAAACGAAAGAGGGAGCTTAATCTCATTAGAAATATGCTATGTGAAATTTTGCAGGTTCTTGGCTTTCTTTATCTCAGGGCTGGTACTGTAATTGTTTCATCTGGTTCTGTAATCCTTTCATTCAAACTTGGAGATAGTTCACCAAGTTCCTGATTAGCTCTTATTATCTTGCTCCTCCTGAGCACCAAGTCCCGCAGCATTTTCCCATGAGCCATTCTGTGGGACTTCTTTAACTACTTTATGGCTAGTATTCTGCTTGATGCTACATTTTACAAAATAGCTCTTCTAAGGCTAGTTGTCCATGACTATTTGCTGTCATGGGCTCTTACAGCTTCAATGCTACCATGAAAGTAGAACAGTTTAAAAAGTTTGTGAGGTTTGGAGTCTTTTCCCATGCCGATCCTAGAAGTGTTTCACTGAGACTTGTTTACTGTCCACTTAGACCAATGTTCCCAAAGATTATTTTGTAAATTTGTACAATACTGGCTGCGTCACAAGCCACCTGAGTTGATTTTTAACTACCAAGACCTCAATTCTGTAGATTATGATTTTATAAGTGGAGAATATCCAAATCTGTATTTCTAAATTGATCACCAGCTAACCCTTATATCCAGAGAAGTTTCACCCTTGCCATAAGATTATTCTGTACATCAGCAGACATGTTTCTACCAATCTTAAAAGTTGAGATTGGGCTCATTCTTTGGTCTTTTGAAGAAAATCCATATCCTGTGGTTAAAATAAACAAACTATATTGGTGTATAATGTTGGCAGACAAAAATTCATTGGCCACTTATTGTTCTGGGANAAACTATATTGGTGTATAATGTTGGCAGACAAAAATTCATTGGCCACTTATTGTTCTGGGAAATGCCTGTTCATGTCTTCTGCCCATTTTTAATTGGGTTGTTCAAGATTTTATTTTTTATATGTAGGATAACCATGGAGGTTTAATAAAGTAAATTCTATATAAAAAATGTTGGCAGATGGACATATGTAAAGAACATACTTGAGACAAAAATTTCCATTAAAACTTCAGTATCAGAACACTTTGCCTGATGCACACAGGACAGTCACATTATCTGGGAATCATTAAAATACTAAGGGATAAGAAAGTAATGTCATATAATTTTAT